TTCATATAAGGCGCGCATCTTGGCGTGTCCAGAAATGAGAGATTTTCTAGAGAGAAGATGTGCTTAGAAATATGAAAATTCATAAAAAAACATCAAATTCTTTGGAAGGCCACAACTTAAGATCCCGTTATCAGATCATCATAAATACAGGTCTGTTACGACCATGCTACAAAGAGCTATAGCTTGGTATAAGTTTTGCGTGCAATCGGAAGCCAGATGATCCAGATTTCAAGGTTAAAGAAATGCATACTTCTTTGTTGTGTGCGTAGAGCATGGGTACAAGAATGCACTACAGAGCGCAGGTAGGAAAAAAAACGAGACTAAGATGGTAGAGGCAGAGAAGGGAGTCAGACCCATCCTAGGCCCGGGTCTGTGACTTTAGCCAAGAAAAAATGAGAGAAAAAGAAGTGCAGAAAGGAGGGAAAAGGGGCACGCACAGGCCTGCCCTGAGCTCGTGCAGGGAAGAGAGAGAGAAAAGAGTGAGAAAGAACGAAGAGAGAAGAGCGGAGATAGAGTAGACTTATGGTGTGTATGTGCCTAGGTGTACCCCCATGAGTCTCATTGAATGCGCATGAGAGAGAAAGGGTCCAAATTGAGGTGTAAGGGGTGGTGTACGAGATGAGGTGTAAGGTATTGTGGTCTAAGGGGTAGTGATGGTATACGAAATGGACTAGGGTGGAGTAGGGAATGGTTTATCGTGTATGGTGGGCTAGGGTTGTTTCTCTCTCTAACAAATGTTTCTCTCTCCTCTCCCTTTAGTCTTGAACTTGTGAGCAAAGCAAAGAGAATAAACTAAGCTTCATTCCAAAATGCTCATGTACAGTAATAATTAAAAGACAAAATTTCAAGACCCAAAGACAAAATTTCAAGACCCTAATACAAGTGACATGGGTTTCCTTATATAGAGCAAGCACTAAATAGGGGTGGAATGCTCAAAAGTACCCCAAATTGTCAAAAAGTACACAATTAATGAATTAAAATAATCATCCTGTATGTCAACTAAATGACCAAACTACCTCTAAGCACTTTTCAATAAATGACAAAACCATTCCTCCATGAGGGGCCTCTTGCCATTACTAGTCTTCGGAAGCTTTTTCGGACACCTATGATGGCAATTTGGGCAATCAAATGTCCTGGAATCCATTGTACTCTTGTAAACATTTCAATACCCTTTGATTGTATTGAAACAAATTTTTTAAGAAGAACCCAAAATCCGACCAAGTCCATAAATTTTACAATTCTTCATCCATCAATGTGAGTTGATTTGTGATGTTCCAAGCCTTCATTTTCATCACAACTTGGAGAGGACACTATCACAATCATTTTGCGATAATTTTCTTCCGTTTTGACATGGAATTGAGCATTTTCAAATTTGGGAGGTCGCTGAAAAATGGGATTCCGGCGACGCACTTGTACCATGCTCTAAGTGTACACCTCTGCCCGTGCTCTATAGCGCACTCTCGTACCCGTGCTCTACGTACACACCTCTAGCCATGTTCTGTAGCGCGCTCTGTAGCGCACTCTTGTACATGCACTCTACACACACACCTCTACTCGCACACCTCTACGCACGCCCTGCAGTGCACTCTTGTACCCACACTCTACGTGCACACCTCTACTAGCACTCTGTGACGCATTCTTGTACTCGCACTCTCATACCTGTGCTCCCTACAACGCATGCACACCTGCACTTAGCTCGGTACACCTTCACCCATGCTCAACTCTGCGTACCTCCACCCACGCCTAATCCTACATACTTCCTATACATTCAATTCATCTACAACAATCTCTTCTCCCGTGCCTACTTCAACATCCATCCACGCCCTTGCATTTCTACCTGAACGTTCAATCCATATAACCTTCATTAACATCCTCTCATTACCTCACTACTTCACACCCATGCTTAGCCATCCACATTTGTCAATTTATCCTCTCTTTTTGTTGATTGCTTCTTTCACTGCTCAAAACGCTTAACCCGGGGAGGTTTTAAGATAGTATTTTAGAGTCTTAATTCTGGGATTGCTGCTCTAACTACCTTCTCGTACAGTGAATTGTGGTCGTAAGAGACATCGCTCCTCTAGTACCCATTTTACTCGAGTTGTAGTCTTCCTGAGTCAGTCATCTTTAGAACTCTGATTCTCTTGCTATTTTGACTACCCAGTCATATAGTGTTCAGGCTATGAGAGACTTTCTTCTTCCATTTCTAAACCATCTAGAGCCACTCATTCGCTAAAATAAAGGTACGTTCAAGAGTAGCATACTGTTCACGAGCTTCTTTGGTAGTTATTGAAACAAGAATACGAGACGAGGTGTTGACGTTTAAGAGGGAGACGTATCCAAACCAAGTTGTTGGACAGTCGGAGGGCTTTTATGAATTGATCTAAGAGGGCGTTTGCCCGGGGCTTATCCCACGAACGCAACTACGGTGAGGTAGGTGCACTAGTCCATCTTTTCACCATATTTCAAAATCCGCTCACAAAGTTGGACACTGCCTATCCGCAAGGATGACACACGAGATAGCGCAAGCAACCCACGTGAGGCCACGCAGTTGTCCGAGAGGGGGTCTTGACCCAAGGTCCGACCAAAAATAATGGGAACCGTCATGAGCCATCTCATTAAATGGGTCACAAATGTTCGTCCACTTCGGAATCGGAGTTGGTAAGTTTCAACCCCTAGCACATCCTGTGATGCGCAATTCCCAAAGAAAATCTTTCGACTTCCAACTGGTAAAGTTTGGAGCTCAATGAACCCTTCTTGATCCCTCATTATATGCCTTGTCGCTCATGAATCCACAATCCACCTAGTAAATTGTAAGTGAGCAACAAGCACTTAAATGGAAAAATTTACATAGCTAGGGAAATTAGTTCGTACATTCTTAGGTTCAGGACATTCTTGTGCATAGTGGCCCCTATTGTCGCAATTGTAGTAAGTTATTTCAGAATTGTCCCTCATGTGCCTCCCACGTCTATGCCTACCCTTTTTCTTTTACTCAACCTCTTGCTTAGGTTGCTCTTTCCTTTGAGGTGCCCCATTCCTTGACTTACCTCTAAGTTTATGGTCTCAAGGCTTTCTTTATTGGGATACTAGAGCGGTTCCAACTCAAGAGATGAGCTAAACTCAGCATCTATATCAAGGTGATGGGAAAGCTGGCAAAAAGTTGTTACAGCTTTATTGTGCAACATTAATGACAATATTTTCTTAGGATTTTGGAAGAGATCTAACCAATCCGAGCATTTGTTGCTCGTGATTGAATTTGTTTCCAACTGCTTTGAGGTCATGTATCATTTGATACATTTTTTTTACGTGATATGCCATCGACACATTTGGAGGTATTTTGTATGTCTCAAAAGTCATAGATAAGGCTCATAATAGAGCATCAGAAATGCCAAGATACTTCTGTTGACGCGCATCCTACATGGCCTTAGCTGTGGTCAATCCCTCGAATTCACGAATGAGGTCATCAATCATAACACTTAACAAATAAAACAAGTGATATGGGCTGCATTATCCCATGTCTCATATTCACAGAGAAGTTCATCTATGAAACCTTGTTCAGGTTTTTATTTATTGGTAGTTAGGTGTTCAAGAGTAGTACATTGCTCATTTAGAAGGTATTTCATTTTCCTATGCCACATAGGAAAATTGCTCCCACTCAACTTTTTGCCTTTAGTGAGATCCGCGATCACATTTTTGGAAGTTATTCTAAATTCAAAATAAAAAAATTGCACATATTAATATGGATGTCTGATGGTTTGTTTAATTTATGATTGCACTTAGATTATCATTTTTACGTTTGTTAATTATTTAGTTACTTGAAAATACTTGGTTCTTAAAAGTCTTGATATGAAAATTTCGGATGGCCACATTTAGTTCTTCTTTGTACTCAATACCAAGTTTCTATCTTAGATCCAGCATCTCAAATACCTTACAATTTACAAGCAGTGAACCCTCCTTGATTCACTCCCACAAAAAGAATTATATGCAGCCTTCAAACGCCAAAAAAAAATGAGTAGCCATGCATGGCTTAGCATATGATGCCTATAAAATTAGGTAGCCATGACGCTCATGGTCTAGGAGGCATCAACTTGCATAACCCATACATAAAGCTGGCAACTCTTCCATGCGTAAGGCCTTCGTGACTATAAGGTCGATACATAAGGTTACATAGTGCACATGCTCAAGGTTTTAATATAACCATCATGTGTACTTTGAAAAATCATAGACTAACCATAATCAAACCTTTAAAAAACTAAGGCGGAAAAGATAATGAAGGCACAATCGAGAATACGATTCCACGATGGATTTGATACCAATGTTCGAATAACTAGTCCAATAGAAGAAGCGGAAGCAAAATAAACAACCTAGAACCGAGTATCATATATGCGTGATCACCAACAAATTTTTGGTGGAGATGGATAAATGACTTGCTTAGGCAAGTTCGACAAGTACTAGAGTTATCGAAATCAGTTTTACACAGCAAATCTGGAGTGAGGTGGAAGCTCACGAATACTCCATCAAATGTTATATGAGGAGCATCCCGAGCTCGACTCTCACTCACAACTCTATCTCTTAAAACTCAAATGGAAGAGGGATTGTATTATCTCTCTCTCTCTCTCTCACTCATTTTCTCTCTTTCTTAAGACGAGCTCTCTCACTTTTCTCGTGTGTTGTTGTATGCATAGAGTTCCACCCCTCCCTTTTTTATAGTAGGACAAAGACCCCCTCATTCATGTGGGAGTAACCCTCTCATGAATTGGCACCTTAATGGTGTATAGTGAATGCCATTCATAGGGGGGGTAACTACCTCATGATGAGGTCAAACTCTTCCCACCTCTCTCTCACGAAGTAATGTAAGTTAAATCATGAAGGGAGTGTGGTCTACTTGGATGTGCCCTCACACTAATGACGAATCCTCATGTCTATAAAATCTAATATGTTAGATAATTTATTGTAGATAAAAGGTAAGAGATACGTGTAATAAATAGTGGTGGGACACTCACCTAGACTGAACATGGCCATGCCAAGACCAGCATCGGCTAATATTGATATGGAATTATGCAATATCTTTGGCATTTTAATGTTCCACCTGTAATATCAAAACAATCAATTATTTTATGGCAAGGCATATTTAACCCAATTCAGAATTATCCACAAAAAGACCATTTATCTTTTGTACCTAGAGGTTACAATCATTTTTGTCCTTTAAATTTCAAAATGGGCAGTTGTAAGAGTGTCATTGAATAGACACAAAGTTTCAAAAACAAAATCTTGGATTTCATTACTCACCCCAAATCATCCAATTTGACACCTAATGAATGGAAATGATTGTGATCTCCATATACCAAAGACAAATGATGGGTTTTCGATGAGTTGGCCAACTCATATGTACATATGCGGCTCCCCAATAAAACTCATGTTACATGATTTTTTTTCTAATTGTTTTTTTTGTAGATTCATGATCTAGGCCAAGATGATCATATGTATGAAATGAAAAATAAAATTGAAAGTTAAAAATATAATTTTTTAGTATTTTTTTATACATTGTCCATATCTTATTTATGGACAATATACTCTAGATAGCATCTATCTTTAGGATGGACGTTTGTAAGTCGGTGGTCTCTTGCGCCTGCTGAGTCATGAAACAATTTTTCAAAAATAATGATCTCTTTATAGACAATCCCTAAAATTACTTGAAAGATTTCTTTGTATACTTACTTTTCAAGCATTCTAAAAGTGTTTATCAGGAGATTTGTTAGCAATATCTTCATAAACTTCACTACATGAATCACTGATTCTCTGTGTTTCTTTTTTCTCAAAACCTAAGCTGCTCGCGTAAGATCAAATCTAAGATGGCTGATACCCTAAGATATCCTTATTCTAAGGTATTGTTATCAAAAAGGAAAATAATATATGATATATTGACCAAATGAAATTCTATAAAAGCTTATTCAAATGGACCAATGTGTTCCCTTTTTTTCTTTTTGTTTTCTTGAGATAATTGTCTCTTTTGCTATGTGAACGCCCGTTGATCCTTTCACAATTTCATTGCTGCCCACCAAAAGAAAAAACTGAAAGGGAAGGTATCTATTCTACATGCTTTATAGTAAAAGGAAAATTGTTTCATGCGGGCTAGACCACATTCCTAATTATGCGGTCAAGAAAGTGTAAAGCATCCATCTTAAAGATGGATGCAAGTAGGTGTTCCATCTAAAAACAAGTGTAATTAACAGTCCAAATATTTTTTAAAATAATTATTATTTCTAGTTTTCATTTTTTTTTTATATTCATGATCTCTATGTTAAGGATTATATATTCTCTAAAATTTAAGATTAAATTATATTTAAAAAATATATTTATTACCATGCTTGCATTTCTACAATATGTGGGCTGACAGCATAAAAATTATGTCCATAGTAATATATTAAAAAAAGAAGGGAAGAGGACCACCTGCAGGCAATGAGCCCCCAAACTAGGCCCAAAACACTAGCATAAGTATTGGGGTTCCTTATAACCTTGGACAACACCAAAAAGAAGATATTTATCATCTTTATAATAGAGCAAGTGGCTTCCCCTTCATCTTTACTGTCTTTTGAAGACCCCTCTTCATCTTCTCTTTCTCTTGATTGCATCTCTTCATCTCCTCCTTCCAAATCACCTTTACAACTCACAACTAAGTCAAAACATGAGGCCAAAAACAGATCATAATTTTTGTAAAAGAAAAGAACGAAAGGTGCTAGTATTTGTCTTTTGGCTAAGATATATTCAAAGATAAAAATTAAATTTGCATTTTTATAACGATAAAAGCGCATAAGAATCCTTATTCCCTCTAATTGGTTTCTTTTTGAGCTAATTCAAATCTTAATCTCGAAATCTAACGGTCAGAATGGAAGGGCTCCAGAAATTTGTTTGGTTTTTGTATTTATTTTGTAAGTTTTTTCAATGTGAGTTGGTTTTGTGAGTTAGTCCTTTACTCACTAGAATGACGACCTAATTGCGTGACTAGGTTGGAAGAGTTCCATGGAATCCTCCTACTTGCAAATGTGTTCATTTGCATGAGAGAAATAGCAAAATATGGTGACGTGTGCGAGTGACTGGTGAAATGATAATTTTTTTGAAATTTATGTATATTCATCCAACCACCCATGTTGATATGTAAGGGACAATAATGATTATGATTTTTATATACAAAATTTTTTTACAATCTCATATATATATATATAAGTCTTTCCAACGTTTATAGGCGAAAATTAACAGTGATTTCTCCTATACTCATCATTGTCCAAAATTTATTGCACGGTCACGAATGTTTGGTAGTATTGCATTTTTCATTTTTTTTTCTACAACTCGCAAATATCTAAAATTTGGATTGTATGTACATCTTAGTGAGACGCACCTAATAAAAATATGAAAAAAATAATTCGCAACATATAAATTGACCAAAATACCTCTGCAAAGTTTTGATGGTATTTTGGTCAATTTATATTATGTAAATTATTTTTTTATATATTTATTAGATTAGCCTATTTTTGATGAATAGACGCTCTGAACTTCAGATCATTTCAATTTATAAAAATAAATAAAAATTGAAACATTACCATACCATTGTGATCATGTGATGAACTTTGGATGGTGATGAGGGTAACCGAAATCACGGTTCATTTTCGCCTATAA